CAATGCATTATTGGTAGCCTAGTGGTTAAGAGCGTTTGACCAGCAACCGAAAGGTCGTGGATTGAATCCCAGGGCTGACTAGATGTTTGTTTTTTATTTGCCCTTGAGCAAGTCAGTTAACCTGAGTTGTTCTGGATAAGAGCGTCTGCTAAATCACTAAAATGTAAATGTACAATTATGAAGACAGACTGTAATCAGCCAGCCAATGAGACAGTAGACTGTAGCCAGCCAATAACACAGACATAAAAGGAACATACACTATGTAGGTACATGGGACACAATGGCATGATTGTCCAATGGTTACATGCTAGATAAATACAACATCTGCTCTGTGACAGGCTGCAATCACTGTAAATCAAAGCTTGATCTGCCCCTTATTCTGAGTGTCCTCCAATAACACTCAATGACTGAAAGACAGAAAGACAGAAAGAATGAAAGGAAGAAATAACAAATGAACAAACGAGCAAACAAACCAGAGGAGAAACCACTGTAAAGCAACAGCTTTACTATCTCTCCATCTCTGAGGATTTGCTGAAACTGAGCCTTCTATTTTGGATTTAAGAGATGAGCAGAGATTTATAAAGAGTACTGGAGGAACAATGAAGATTTCAGCTGATGGTAGTGAACAAGACTGGACAGGAAAGGACAGATGGGGACTTAGGGTGAGTAATATGACAGTGTAGAGACAAAGTAGTGATACGGAGATATGGGGTAACAGAGTTAGAAAGAGAGAAAGTGACATAGAGAATGATACGAAAAGAGGATATCAGATAGAGAGAAAGAGGTGCATTAGACGTATTATGTTAATGAGATACAGAAGGCAGAGAGAGAGGGAGAGAGGAGAGAGAGAGAGAAGAGAGAGAGAGAGAGAGAGAGAGAGAGAGAGACAGAGATATGAGAGAGATAGATACGAGATCGCTATAGAGAGAGATCAGCAGAGAGAGCGCGAGAGAGAGAGATATTATGGAGGTGTATACAGTGTGTATAAGAGATGGTACTGAATGGGACAGACCAATGGACAGAGAGATAGACAGACAGATAGATAGAGGTGTATATGTATATGAGATGGTACTAACCAGGACACACTGCTATGTTGCAGAGTTTGGTCTGTTTCTCAGGCCCTCCACAGAGCTTGGCCCCTCCTCCGCTCACACAGTTCCTGGTTCGGGTCCTGGAGCCCCGCCCACACGTGACAGAACACAGGCTCCATGACGACCACTCCTCCCACAGCCCATGGACTGCAACACCCAGAGAGACAGGCACACACAGCCAATGGTGATGAGAGAATGAGAGATAGGAGTTGTGTGGAGTCGCCTGTTATAGCCAATGAGGATAGAGAATGAATGTGGAAGAAGGTCCCACCTCCTGCCACAACCAATTGGGTTAGAGAATGTGAGCTTGGAGGCGGGATTATAACTCCTGTCTGCAAATGGGGTTAGAGGATGAGACAGAAAGTGAGTAAATGAACACTAGCACAGCTCTCAAAAGAACCAACAGTAAGACAGATGGCACAGAGGTAAGAAGTGGCCCTCGCCACCTCTCCATATCATTCAAACCAGGAAAGAACACGCTCCAAGCTACCCAAAACCAAAAGTTCCACCTCCACCAGCAGCTGTTACGAAGGACTGGGCCGCGTTCAGAAGGGCACAATGTTGAAGTACGTTCAGATAGAAATATATTGTGTGGAACAGACAAGCCGCTCATGCAGAGAGTGAGGAATCGTGTCAGCTCTATTCATGGTATTTTCTATCTGCAACTTAAAGTGTGTTGCACCCTCCTGAAAGCAACCCTGGTGTTAGATAATGAATGGCATATGAGATAGTAAGGTTAGAGGAGTGAACATATAAAGACATTTGATTTCATGGATTTATGCACAGATAGTATGACAATGTTCATAAAGTACATTCCAAGTTGATTAAAACTACTATACTTTTTGGTCATTAAAATGTAATGTTGAGGGCACAGCATTATCAGACTCTGATCAGCAATGCGGTTAAACATTCATCAACTTATTCATTCAAACGATGTGATGCCATCTATTTCATATATTTTAATGAACATCTTAATATAACCTGGGACAGTATTCATAAAGCCTCTCAGAGTACAAATGCTGATCTAGGATCAGTTTTGCCTTTGTAAATGTAATGAATAAGAGGCTAAACTGATCCTAGAGAATATGGTGGCCTGGTTTTTGAGAGGAAGCTTTCTTGTTCTTACCACTCTGAGTAGAAGTTGCTTATGGTCACAGGTCTAGGATTAGTTTACTGTTCCAAATCCCGCTAGTTTACCAAAAGGGTTTACCAAATGGGACCTGAGATCAGTGTCTAGGATAAAAGTCCTCCTCTGTGCAATGAAACCTTAGAGTTGTATAGATGGCTCATCTTCGAAATCTACTAAAATGGTGAAATGGCAAGCGAGTCCTTTATCCAACTTTATGAATGGGACTGGGAGTTAGCCGAGTGACAGTGTTGAGTTATGGCATGCTGGGGGTGAAGTGTTAAGGAACCAGAACAGCACAATGCGGAGGAACACAACACGGCAGCGTACGCAATACACTGCCAACCAGTAAGACAAATAAACAGACTACACCACATGCCCACAGGCAATAGACATACTGTACATACTATGTGTCCACAGAATCACAAACATACAGATCACTATAGCAGAGTAGTCGTAAGAAAGGAGGGAAAGAGAAATATTCTGAGAGAAGAAGAGTGAGGGATGGAGGGATAGAGAGAAAGGGGGAGGAATAGAGAGAAAGGGAAAGGGAGAACCACAGGGAAAAATACATTGATTTTGGGAGTTTGAATGGACAATCTTATGGCAATATGAGATTTGAAAACACAAAGGCAGAAGTGAAGAAAAATAGAACATGAAGAAAGAGGGGGAGAAAGGGGGATGAATCCATTGTGGATACTTGGAGTGCATTCTAATGAGTCAAAGATTTTGAAGGCGTGCATAACGTTAACACTTTGGGGAATATTGAATGAGAGAGAGGGAAAGAGTGAGAAACGTTTTTAAAATATATGAATCGAGGGAGAAAAGGCTGGAGGGAGGGGTGTTGAAAGACAATGTGAGATAGAAAGAGGTAGAGGAAAAAGGAGAGAGAGAAGGAGAGAAATGGAGAGAGAGAAAGTGAGTGATGAGAGGAATCAAAACTACTTATGTGAGCACCTGTACTTGCTGAGGGGGCTGACGCTGGAGTTTTATAAACATGCTGATGACAATTAACTCACTCAGCGTAGAGAAGCAAAGCTCGGTGCATAGGGGAGGGCAAAAATGGGGGGAGAGGACTGTGGGAGCGCTAGATATTAAGATAGAGAGCGGGATAGAAATTAGTGATGAGAGAGAGGAAGAGAGAGAGGGAGAGGAAGGAGTGATGAGAGAGAGCAAGAGAGAGAGAGGGAGAGGAAGGAGTGATGAAAGAGAGCAAGAGAGAGATGGAGAGGAAGGAGTGATTAGATAGAGCAATAGGAGATATGGGATAGAGAGTTGAGCGATATATAGATGCTATAGCTATAGAGAGATATGATAGACTCTCTTCTTCTCTCCTCTCTTTCTACTCTTTCGCCTCTCTCTCTCTCGCTCTCTCTCTCTCTCTCTCTCTCTCTCTCTCTCTCTCTCTCTCTCTCTCTCTCGCTCTCTCTCTCCTCTCCCTCGCTCTCTCTTCCTCTCCTTCTCTTTCTCCGCTCTCCCTCTCGCTCGTTCTCGGCTCTCCCGCTCTCTCTTCCTGTCTCTCCCTCCCGCTTCGTATCTCCTTCTCTCCTTGTCCTCTCGCTCTCTCTCTCTCTCTCGCTCTGCTCGCTCCTCTCTCTCTCTCTACTCCTCTCTCTCTCTCGCGCTCTCGCTCTCTCTCTCCTCCTTTCTCTCGCTCTCCCTATCTCTCTTGCTCTCTCCCATCTCTCTCTCTCCTCGTCTGTCTCTCGCTCGCTCCTCCCTTCTCTCTCGCGGCTCTCTCTCTCCCTCCTCGGCTCTCCTCCCTCTCTCTGCTCTTTTCTCTTTCTGTTCTTTCTTTGTTCTCTCTTTTCCTCTTTGCTTTCTGTCTTCCTCTTCTTCTTCTTACTCTTCTTCTTCCTTTTATTTTTTATTTTTTTCAATGTACTTTACTTAAACCAGTGAATATCACTTATTATAAATGAGATCATTAACTATCAGCTCTTGGAATATCCAGGGCCTGTACTCTTCACATTTTGATTATAAAACAACAAATCCAGAATTGATTAAAAACATCAAGGGACAGGACATCATAATCCTATTGGAAACATGGTATCGTGGAGACATAGATACTCAGTGTCCCTCAGGCTATAGAGAAAGTTTACTACCATCAATCAAACATAAAAATGTTAAACGGGGCCGAGACTCAGGTGGAATCATAATTTGGCATAAGCAGGACTTAGCACTGAATAAAATTTAAAAAAGGTACTAATAACATTTGGTTAAAACTTAACAAAGGTACAATCTATTGTGACAATGATGTATATATATGTGCAACTTATGTTCCTCCTTCAGATTCATCATATAATGATGATCAGTTTTTTGACAATCTCCATACAGAAATCATTCAATTTCAGGCAGAAGGTAAAGTGCTTATTTGTGGAGATTTCAATGCAAGAACA